CACAATCATTGTTTCTGAATGCAACAGCTATGCCACTGGAAAGTTGGTCAACAACATCATAATCTAATCCTTTGCTTGACCTAGACAATGAATTAATTTATCAATATATGCCATATTGCTTCATAAGTTATCTTGTGTGATCTGATTGCACGGTTGTACAATTTTCCTTTCATTATATTGGTGGTGGTATTTTCTGAAAACAATCTGCTTTCTATCCAACAGTCTTCAAGTTCTGAAGCAACAAAATGCTGACCAACTGCTGTTAGGTAGACCATGATAATATGGAAGCCTCCCAGTCAAATGATTACTCCTTCAGTCTCTTCTGGCTGTGACCAAACTAGTTCATTTGCTTTGCAATACAATGCCTGATCAAGTGTTATGACTGTGTGCTATTCCTCCTGCCTGCATTCAGAATGGTAATGTGCCTCAGCCTTGCATCTTCAACACCAATTTGGAAACGCAACACTTCATTCTTCTCTTCCGTGTTGTGTATTGCCTTGGCTGATTCAAATGACAACACTTGATTCAGTCTCTTCTTATTAGAATGTTTCTCGCAGAATATGCACATCCTCCAGTGATCTGCTGGAGTAGATGATCTGCACTTGGTGTTGTTGGTAGGATTTCCTTTTCATCTTCTACTTTGCCCAGCTTTCTTAACAGTCTCTCAATACATCCTTTGTGTGTAAAAGAACTATCGCAAGAACAGTGCCAACTGAGGTTTTTGGAACATTGCAAACCACAACACAACATGATAGTCTGTCAAGAATACTGCCATAACAAGTGCTGAATTCAGCAACTGTCCTATGTTGAATAAGTGCCTAATTTATTTGCACAATTCCAGCATGTGTACTTTGGCTAATTGTTGACTATGAACCTACTGCAAGACATCTGATGCATCTTGTAGATTCTAAGATGTACCTCCCATGCTTCACTGGACTCGGTGATGCTATCTGATCCATTGTAACATCTGCTTAAGGGTGATAAGGGCAAGTCTCTTTGGTTATCCAGTAATGAACAAAACTAAATTTGTGGCAGCCATCTTGGAATCCAACATGGCTACCACAGCAGAAATGTTATAATTGATCTCCTCAGTTCATACAATGTTGGTTTTGTCATTAGAATAAATTTTCTAACCCTACTGGGGGCTGAAATATTGACCAAAATGTGAATTAATGGCAGGCAACTTGGATTCCAACATAGCAGCTACACACACTACTTTACAGACTAGCAACATGAATTTTCTGACCCAGGTAGGCCACCTCTACCTGAAACACACTGTGGTTGCTTGTGGTAATGAGTTGCCCACGCGGTGATTCCTTTACTCTTCTTTTTTACCTTACTAGTTTGGAGAGGGGGAATTGGATAACAGCCTTCAAGTACCTGAGAGAGAGCCAACTTGGCTTCATTGTGGGTAGGTCTTTCCTGCCCAACCTCATTTCCTTCTATGACCAGGTAACGCATCACCTGGAAAAAGGAGAAGAGGTGGATGCTGTGGCAGGCCAGTAGCGGATGCTCTGGCACCGAGCCACCCACCTCACTGCACCCAACCAAAAACCAAGCTTTGGATGCTTCCCCAGGGGTGCCAACTTCTGGCCAACTCCCTTCCTGGATCATACCCACAAGCCTGGGGTAACCACTACCACCACCCGGGGTCTGGTCTTTGTCCAGTCTCTGTGCTTCCTTGGGTTTCACAGGCCTTGTAGACCTTGTGGGCGCTTAACCCACTGTGGGATTCTGGGGTGCTTTTTATAACCTGGATCATTAACACTAGCCTCCCTTAGTCAGTGGAGCAAAAGATAGCTAAAAGGCTTGCCCAATCCCTCTCAAGCATGTACAACAAGGCTTGCTATAATGGATAGCTTTATTGGGTAGAGAGGGTAGGCATGGGTAGGGGTACAAGTCAGAGAAGTAGCAACAGAATAACCCTGACCAAACAGAAGCAGCTTAGTAGCCTTTTGATAAGCTTTCAGAATGCTGTTACTAGCTAAATTTTTGGTAAGTTACTCACAGGTTCATCTGGAGTCTAAAAGAGCTTCAGAAGCTGTGTGCTTGCTTCATGTTCCCAAATATGTCTGCCTCCACTTCCTCATGGAGGGGCTGTTTTTTACACCTGTTGTGACCTCATCACTATGTTCCCACCAGAAGCAGACCCATTGGCTGCTGATCGGTGCTTCCAAATGACATCACGTGACCTGCAAAGGCAGGAACCCGAGACAAAAGGAGCGGGTTCCCCATCCCCTTCAAATTTTTACAGCCCAGCTAGTCCTGCAGGCACCATGCTAACACAGGAATGGGGGTTGGGCTGCTGCCTTACAGCAGTGAGGCAGATTGTGGGCAGTGAGGCAGATTTCTCCACAGATGTAATATATTTAGATTTCAAAAAAGTCTTTTATTTGGTCTCCCATGATGTCCTCATGGTAAAATTGGGGAACTGTGGCCTTGACAACCTTACAGTCCAGTGGCTGGGGAACTGGCTCCTTGGTTGGACCCAGAGAGTGATAACTGATGGAACCAAATCAACATGGTGCATGGTGACCAGTAGCATCCCACAAAGCTAAGTACTTGGACCAGAGCTCTTTAATATATTCATAAATGATCTGGATTTGGGTGTCAGAAGTGGACTGGCTAAGTTCGCAGATGACGCCAAATTATGGGGAAATGTGGTCATGCTAGAGGATAGGCTGGCAATTCAGGCTGACATGGACAGGCTCGCAAGGTGTGTGGATCAAAACCTGATGACATTCAATATGGAGACATGCAAGGTGTTCCACCTTGGGAGAAAAAACCCACATCATATTTATAGGCTTGGCAGTGCTACATTCACTAGCAACATGACCAAAAGAGGCATGGGGCATCATGACTGACCACAAGATGAACATGAGCCACCAATGTGATGTTGCAGCTAGCAAAGCAAATAAAACTATGACTTGCATCTACTGATGCATCTCAAGCAAGACCTAGGAAGTCATCCTCCTGCTTTACTCAGCCTTGGTGAGGCCACAGCTGGAGTACTGCATCCAATTCTGGGCTTCACACTTTAGAAAGGATGTGGAGAAGCTTGAGAGAGTCCAGAGGAGAGCCACATGCATGATCAGAGGGCAAGAGAACAGGCCTTATGAGGAGAGGCTGAGAAGCATGGGACTCTTCAGTCTGGAGAAGCGAAGCCTCAAGGGTGACTTGGTGGCAGCCTATAAGTATATAAGGGGTGTGTATCAGAACTGGGGGAACGTCTGTTCACCAGGGCATCCCAAGGGAAGATAAGGTCTGATGATCACAAACTGCTGGAAGACTGTTTTAGACTGGACATAAGGAAAAACTTTTTTACTGTCTGAGTCTCCAGAGTCTGGAATAAACTCCCCCCAGAGGTGGTGCAAGCACCTATTCTGGATACCTTTAAGAAACACCTGGATGCTTATCTTGCTTGGGTGATCTGACCCCAGCTGACTTCCTGCCCCTTGGGCAGGGGGCTGGACCCGATGATCTCACAAGGTCCCTTCCAGCCCTAATGTTTATGAATCTATGAATCTATGAAAGTCAATTACAGAGAGGATGGAGATGGACTTTTCTCTGTGGCTGTACAGGACAGGAGTAGGAGCAATGGCCTCAAGCTTCTGCAGTGGAAATTTAGTTTGGAGATTAGGAGGAACTTTTTTGACTATGAGAGTGGTCAAGCATTGGAATAGACTGTCTGGAGAAACTGTAAACTCTCTGTCCTTGGAAATTTTCAAGAGTAGGTTAGACAGACACTTGGCTGGGATGGTTTAGTCAGGGATGATCTTGTCTTGAGCAGGGGGCTGGACTAGATAATCTTGTGAGATCCCTTCCAGCCCTGCTTTCCCATGGCCCTATGTTTGATCTATTAATGATACCATAAACCTGGGGTGAGGACATGTCTAACCATCTGCAGTGAGGTTTGAGGGCAGGTGGGAGAGCAGTTCCAGTGCTACAGATTACTTTGAAGGGCACACAGTTGTGTCTCTGGTGTGCAGGGCCACTGCTCTGTCTCCAGCTGGTAAAGTTCTGCCATTGCAGGACAACAGGGTGATTGTGACTTAATGCTGCAGGCCCCCTCCCAGGCCATTGCTCTGAACCACATGCCTCTTCTTTCATTTGTACCTTCAGAAATCAAGTACCAACAACTCTCATCCCACCAGGGCATTCTGGTCACCAGCATTTGTGCAAACCTGGAGTCCTGACCAAAGGCATCATGTTTCACAGACACCAATGATCATTGATCAGTCACTCAGGCCCAGCTTGATGTTGTAGCATTGGATATGATTAGTGAGGGGGGAGACACAATTGGGTAGGGAAAACACCCTCCCCCCAGTAACACTGGAAAAGCCCATTCACTCAGCACGTAATTACTGGTAGCAGCAACCCTATCACCTTCTAGCAAAGTAATGTGGAGCTGATGGGGAAAATTTGGATTGGGGAATGATTCCTTATCACTTGCCTTCACAACCTTGATGTCACATCGGTCTTTGCCTTCATTACATCCCTCAGGAATGATGCTGAACTGCCTCGAGTCAGTCAGGATTCTCTTCATTACAATAGTACTCTGGGGAGATTTGTAGTGAGAGATCATCCTTGCTCTCAACAGACAAGACAGAGGGTGGGAGGGGAAGCTGGGAAACAGTGAGAATTTAGTTAGAATGAGGGCCATGCTGGTACCAGTCGTATCTCAGCATCTAAGTAGAGAGCACATAAGGCTCTATCTTCAGTTGCTTTGAGATGTGGAGTGCTTTTGCCTTCTTTGCCTGTATAGCACTGTACGGGCCACAGGCTGTTAGGGTCACAGGTCACGTTTGGACTTCCTGACTCTGTGGAAGGCAACAACTTCCATGTTTTTCTCCTTTGGTCAAAATTTCCTTGGGCACCTTCCATTCCACCTCATGTCCTTGCTTCTGTGGGGTCTTTCCAGGAACATGCTGGCTCATCAGGGCCCATTCTGTAGACTGTATGAAGCAGTGCAGTGACTGCTGCTGTTTTTGACTTGGCAGGTTGACACTGATGATGTCCTTACAAAGGAAGAACAGATCTATCTTCTGATTGAAGCAAAGGAGCAGTGCCAGAAAACCATAAGAATCCAACTAGAGAAACCCAAAGGTACTACTGCAGGTTTTGCCAGGCATAGCCAACAAGACCAGGGAGAACTGGCAGACCCACGCAGTGTAAAAACCTGCTTCCCCTGAAGTCAGGGGCAAGGATTTCACCCTTGGGCCTGATCCAGGAGCTGCTGAATCCAAGGAAAGTCTTTTCATTGACTCCAGTGAGCACCTTGGTTTGGTAATTCTTTGGGGCAGGCTCCACCTTTTTGTTCTGTTCCTGCCTAGTACTTAACACAGTGGGGTCTGGCGCCAGGACTGGAGCCTCTTTTTGCAATTATCATTATCAACCTGATTTGCTGCTCTCAACTTCCAGACCTCATCCTGAGCTTGCTGGTTATTATGCCCCATATACACACATAAAACAGATTCCTTAGAGGAACCCTGAGGCCTTTCCCACTGCAGAGTGGCAAGGCAGGTGGGCAGATGTGCCATGTCTCCTCCAACCAGCAGAAACCATCAAGAAACTTGTGTTTCCATGTCAGATACCTGCAGAGTCTGGATGTGTCCTCTTGTGTGCTTTTGCCTAGTGGAGGGTTGATATTGCAGGGTGCATAGAGGCAGCCAGGGTGTGCATGTGCGTGGAAGCTAGAGCCAGCCAGATGTACCTGCTCAGTGGTAGGCAACCCCCAACACAAGTGCCCGAATGTGGCATGCGAAGACATTTTGCTTGGCATGTGTGCCTTGGGGAGGACAGCAGGGAAGGGGCTGGGACTGTGCTGCCACAAGGATTGGGCCCCTTGCATCTCCCCCACCATCTACCTCTGGCAAACCAACATCTTACAGGTCGAGGTTGTGGGGTTTTTTGGCATTCTGCTCAAAGATGTTGCTGACCTCTGGACTAGCTGGTAGTCAATAGGCATGGAGACAGGACCACAGGACTAGTTGGACTGGCATGGATTGTGAGTTCAGTCAACCTGGACTAGCATGGTTCCCTGCATCTTTGTACCATGGTAGCAGCCCTATAGCATGCAGCAATTTAAGTAATACCCATGATAAAGTAGAGTGGCAGGCAGGTGACGGCTGTGATCACTGCTCCTGAGCAACTTAGAATTGTGTACATCTGATCTCATTACATGGTTTAATTGTCTTGTCTCCACCACGCTCTCATCATTTACCTGCTACATCTTGTCTATTTATTATTTATCATACTCTTATATATCCCTAAGTGGAAAGGGATCCTATCTGGCTGGGACCATCAAATGCACTACAAATGTCAAATAAGAATAATACTATCAATTAATGGGATCTGTCTTTGCTTATTGGGCAGATACCAGCTGTTTACCAGAGTGGGATGGAATTATCTGCTGGCCCAAGGGCTCTCCAAACCAACAGGTGTCGGTCCCGTGCCCAAAATACATCTATGATTTCAACCACAAAGGTAACTTCAGAATAACGTGTGGTCAGCCTGAGCTTATTCCTACTGTCTTTGCAAGGTCAGTTGATGAGAATGGGTTTTTCAAAGGGGCTTCAGAGAGAAAGGGAGCCAAATCCAAAAGAATTTCCCCTAACAAACTTCCCAGCCAAGGTGCTTTGACACCACCATGATGGACACAGCCCAGCTCAGACCAACCCCAGTTGGAAGGGAAGAAGAGCCCAGTGAAGGGACCGCTGCCACCACTGCTTTAACTGGCAGAGCTATGTCAGGAGAGCCCTCTAGTGGAAATATGGCACATGGCAGCTGAAGGGCGATTTCCAGCATAGCCGTGGTTTCACACCCCTAACACAGCTGGGCCAGTAAAGATGTGTCACCCAGGCTAAGTCTTTGAGTGGTTTAATACATGTGGTCTGGTCTCTCCCTAGTGCCCAGCCTGACTGTAGTAGTCTGCCACCTCCTAGTAGCCAAAAGACTCCCTCCCTAAGCCAAGTGTGGGGTTTGTGCTGTTGGCCATAGGTTTGATCCCATGGCTTGCTGCAGAAGGGTGGGCTTTGCTACTTAATACCTTGGCCTGTTGAGTTTCTCTTGCCCGCTGCTTCTGTCATGATCCCCGGGACTTCCTTTCAGGTCATGCCTACAGACACTGTGATGCCTATGGGAGCTGGGAGCTAGCACTCAGCATCAACAAGACCTGGGCTAACTATACAGAATGCACTAAGTTCTTCACTCCTGAGCACCGGAGCCGAGAGAAGGTGACCCACAGTTGGGGGTGAGATGGGGGGAGGGACCCTAGCTGGGGCCAGAGGATGCATGTTCCTGTGTGTGGGAGAAGGACAGGGGCCAGAGTATCCAGACCAATCTTTCATAGATTTCATAGACATTAGTGCTGGAAGGGACCTCAGAAGATCATTGAGCTCAGTTCCCTGCCCCAGGGGCAGGAAATCATGTAGTTTCTAAGGATCCCAGCAAGATAGACATCCAAATGTTTCTTAAAAGAGTCCAGAGTAGGTGCTTGCACCACCTCTGGAGGCAGTGAGCGTGGTGCCCATTGCATACCTCCTGTGAGCTAAACATCTGTGCCAGCCTCTCCCTTGTTCAGGAAGGAACTATGTTTGCTCAGATGCCTCCAGCAACAGCCAGACGGAAGGGGTTGGCTGATCCCTCCCCACCAACTCCTCTCAACAGCACTGGGTCCTGTGTCTGCCTCTGCTTCTGGTTGGCCACCCCAAGACGTGCTGCTCCCAACTGGCTAGGCACTAGAGCTCCTTCAGCAGGTCCCCTGTGTGGCAGTCAGCTTTACAGCGGTGCTGTGTTGCAGCCAGGGTTCCAGATATGGGAGCTACAATCTTCTTGTCTGGGAGTGGTGGAGGATGTCCCCCATGACTGAGCCACACTTGAGTCACAATGACGTGGCTCCTAGAAGTCTAGAAGTCTCCTTTCTGCTGCCAGGCTGGAGTGGACACAACCAGAGGCAGAACCAGGGGGTGCAGTGGAGTGGTTGCACTTCCCTTCCACAGTGAAGGTCACCTGCTGGTGGCTCCATTTCCCCATGGCCCCCCGCCCTGTCTGGGTCCCCTCCTGTATTTGAAGCATGGCTGGAGCCTTAGGCTAGACTAGGTGCATCCTTCTCTTCCAGGAGGTGTTTGACCGCCTGCACATGATGTACACGATAGGCTACTCCATCTCCCTGGCCTCCCTTCTTGTCGCCGTGAGCATCCTATGCTACTTCAAGTAAGGAGGGCCCTCCTTTTTATTACCCTTGAACCCCCTGCATCTGCCCACTGTGCTGGGGGCACCCTGTCATGACTGGTTGGTCAGCAGGGACAGGCTGCCAGTGAAGATCAAGGGAAGCCTAGCACAACTCTCAGGCCAAATCACTGGCTTAATCTTTCTATATTTCTTGTGCAGTTAGGCCCTAACCAGAGCCCCAGATTAAGACCCTGCTTCCTGGGGGAATCAAAGTTCAAATCCTCACTCAGACTAGGCTTTTATATGTGGGGCTAGCATCTACAGCAGATGGGATGTGATGGCAGTGTGGTTGAGAGACATAACAGAGCTGCATGCCCTTGGTTATGCTACTGGTGGGTAATTAGTCTTGCTTGGCTCCAGGGGTGAGTTTGAGCCTTGCCCTGGACTCAAGATGAAGGCTGCCTTTAGGCGACCCAGCATACATGGGCACCTAGTCACTGCACTGGGGAGTCAAAAGCATGGATGTGATGCTA